ACCTTACTTCTAGTAACTAACTAACTACCCTACCTACTAACTTAGTAAGTATTACGTAGTACTTCGTTCGCGACGTTCGTTGTAGTTATTTACTTCTATTGTTGGTGGTTTAGTTTATAGTACTCTCTCTCTCTCTCTCTCTCTCTCTCTCTCATGCATGGTTCCAATTGCCAGCAATGATCTCCTACCTGTAGGTTTTCTCTTTTTACTGTATTTCTCCTCAAAGATCTTACAAATAAAAAATTACTAGTTTTATATTTTGGATTTCTCAGTGAATATCAGTGTTACATTGACATTTATTGTGGGGCATGGCATCGCATGTCGACACAAGCCACCGCTTGAACCCGTTTTGACATGGGGGGATACGGTAGTGATATAACAAGTCAGCTGTTGCTCACGGTGGGCTTGAACGATTTCTTGTGTAGGGAGCAGCAACCGCCACTTTATTTTACATGTAATAAAAGATAAATTATATTGTGTATGTGTGTGTATCAAAAGCTCTATTATTTTATTTAAAATAGTACTTACACCGATGTGTCTTGCCTCGCTAGCTTTTTATGCTGGAAAACTAGAAACTTCAGACACATGCTGGATGCAATGCTAGTGTCAGTATGCACGTAACTTTGGGAATCACGTTTAATTCTTTTAACATTTAATGTATAATTTGGCATTTTTGAATCATTTATTTTATGGTTAGACCCTATGAATTGTCACTTGGACTGATTTGGAATGAATTGGCCTATTCATAAGTTTATTCTCCACTCTAGTGTTCATAAATAAACTATAAATATACAATTTTCCATAATGTACACTCTTTTACTGATCGATCTGTGTCCTTTACTGATCTGTGTATAGTATGATATGCACTAATGATATGCATTATTTTTTATCTTCATATGTGTATAACATTGTGTTATTGCAGTATCTATAAGGCTGTTCTAAAATCAAAAGGATCAATAAACGAGGTCAACCAAATTGCACAGGTTTGGTTTTTCTTTAATTCTTTCTCTGTTTTCATTCATTTTATCATCTGTTTTTTCAAATTGATCAGATTTTACAATCATCATCATCATCATCTAAGCTTTATCCCAACCATTTGGGGTTAGCTGCATGAACCATGTTCCGCCATTCCGCACTCTATCAAGGGTCATACCCTCATCCATACCATAAGTCATCATATCCCTTCGCACTACTTCCATCCATATCCTTTTGACTCTTTCTCTTTTCCTTTTAGAGCCTTCCACTTGAACCAAATCATCCCTCCAAAGTGGTGCTATTCTAAGTCCACGCTGCTCATGGTTGGACCACCTAAGTCTACTTTCCCTTATCTTATCGCCCATTGGAGCTACCCCTAAGTTCATTTGGATGCAATCATTTCGAATTCAGCCATTTCTTATCTTGCCACTCATCCATCTCAACATCCTTATCTTTGCCACACTCATTCTATGGATATATTGTTTCTTGACCACCCAATATTCCTTCCCATAAAGCATGACTAGTCTTATAGTCGTCTTATAGAACTTCCCCTTTAGTTTCATGCATATGTGACGATCACATAAGACTCCAAAAATACATCTTTACTTATCCTCCTAGCTCTTATTCTATGCGTGACATCTTCCTCAATCACTCCATTCTCATAGATTGTAGACCCATGATATAAAAAATAATCTCTTTTAGGTACTTCTTGGCTATCAATTTCAACTAATTCTTGTTTATGTTTCTATTATTACTAAACTTGCATTCCATATATTCTTAGTCTGGCTAATTTTAAACCTTTAGATTCTAGATCATCCCTTCAAAGTTCTTTTGTGTTGATGCCTTCTTTAGCTTCATCAATCAAAGTTGTCATCCACATAAGACATACACCATGGTACCTCTTCCTATAGATGCCCGGTTAACTTTTCCTGTAATTAGTGCTCCCTCGTATATATCCGTTACCGTGTCAATATATTCTCTAGAAACTCATTTCTTTTCCATCACCCACCAAATTAACTCTCTAGCTACCTTATGGTATGCTTTCTCTAATCTAATAAAGACCATGTGGAGGTCTTTTCTCTTTTCCCTACACTTCTCAATCAATTTCCTAAGTTAATTTCTCAATTAGTGGATCGGATTTTAGTATGCAGAAGTTAATTTTGGGATTAGCACAATGGAAGTTGGCAGCTAAATAGTCTTTATGAATGTGTTTTCCAGCTCCGTATCATTGTAAAACCAAAGCCATGTCTTGGTATTGGGCCATTATGCAGTGCACAGCAGGTGGGTCCTTTTGTCTTGTTATGGTTCATGGGCTGTGTTATTTGTTCAGTTACTTCATAATATTCTGATATTCAGTGCTTTCTTTTCTACTGAATTATTTTTTGATTAGTTATTTGTATTTGCTCATATTTGATTACGCTATGCAGATATGTTATCATGTTCTTGGGATTGTCCATGGAATTTGGACCCCCATACCGCGGGCTGTGAGTATTGCTCACTTAGCATTACTTTCAAATTTGTCTTCCACACCTCGGTTACCCAAAAGAGTTGATTGGCACTGTAACAGATGAAAGATTATATTGCAACCCCAAAACCTAATGGCTACCAAAGTCTCCACACCATCGTGATCCCATTTCTGTATGAGAGCATGTTTCGATTAGAGGTGCAGGTGGGTTTTATTTTCTTTATTTATTTATTATTGATCCTGTACATGTCTTAATGGAATGATGTTGTACAGGGCGATGAGCTTTTTTCCTGACTTCTACCATCATAATTCATGTCTCCTAGATAATTCTTGTTTAATGTACTGCATTGGTTCGCAGGTTCTCCCCTTCTGTTTTCACAACAAATCTTGTATTGAGCTATGAAATTGCAATCACTATTATATAGTCAAACCCTTGATATGACCACTAGAGTCTATAAGTAATTATGAATACTAATCCATATGTACCCTTATTAGGAAACAATAGTGACAAAGATGTGCATGTCTATTGTTATCTTTGCACTTCACACTGAGATTTCTAGATCTTTTCTTTTCATCTGGTCATCAGGATGACCGCATTCATGATCTATTAGATAATTTTAGAAAGCCAATATCTGAGTTTGTCGATGTTTAAATATAACCAAGTACATTTGAATTATGGGTTGATCTGTAGATTTACAATTAAAAATACATTGAGTGTCCATTTTCTATCCATCAAATTGTGTTGGAATTCAAAAGGTTATGCAATAAAAATGAATGCCTATCGTATCTGGAGGATGCCTCTCTTCTTTACCAACATTGGGAGAAACTAAGAAATTCCAGAAAATTGAAGTAAAACACTTTGTAACAGATGCATGTTGCACTTAAGTTCTATGGATATGATTAAACCAGTTGATTCTTGAGTCCAGACTTTCTCTCGCTCTCTCTTTTTTTTGGGGGGGGAGGGGGGGTGGTTTGAGGGTTTGAAATTGGAATTCAGTGTTGCAATTGTCAATACATTAACTGACCAAGCCCAAGCCTGAATCCTTCAGACTTCAATCTTTGCCATTGATTATGCTGATTTTACATAGTTGCTAGATTACAGTCTTCATAGAATTTCTTCATTCTGTTTGAATTTTTTGCAGATAAGAACAGAAGATATGGATCTCATAGCTGAAAGAGGAATTGCTGCTCATTACAGTGGGAAGAGTTTGTTCCCTGGTTTAGTCGGAAATGGGAAGCCTACTGGGAGAAACTCTAGAGGAAAGGCTGTCTGCTTCAACAACGCTGATATTGCTCTAAGGGTATACATTGATGATTTTATTTTTTGGATGGTTGTTTGTACCATTAAATAGTGGCACAGTCCACTGTACTTGAGCTATCTTCTTTTTTCTGCAGATTAGTTGGCTCAATGCTATTAGAGAATGGCAAGAAGAATTTGTTGGGAACATGAGTTCTAGGGAATTTGTGGACACCGTAACTCGAGATTTGTTAGGCAGTCGGGTATTTGTATTTACCCCAAAAGGAGAGGTGAGATCTTGATACTGCTTTACTTAATTATTTTGGGAAAATATACTATAATCCTATGGTTGCATCACCCTGTAATGAAATAGGCTGCAAGGGAAAGAGCTGGACCCACAATTTGGTTCGTTCCCTTTGGTTTAACTATCCATTGCTGTCCACAATTTCATTGGGCGATGAGACCTTCTTTGTGTAGTCTGTTGGATTATCATATACTTTTCCAAATGTTACATGGCATGGTGCAAATAAATTTAAGACGCATTATATCTGTTTCTTCCTATATGCAGATAAAAAACCTACCCAAGGGGGCTACTGCGATTGATTATGCTTATCTAATACACACGGAAATTGGAAACAAAATGGTTGCTGCCAAGGTTTGTGTCTTCTTGTTACTTTTCTATTGACAGCATTACAGTTTATGAAGTCAAAAAGGACTGATCTCCTTTTTCCATTTTTAGGTCAACGGGAATCTTGTCTCTCCCACTCATGTGCTTGCAAATGCTGAAGTTGTGGAGATAATCACCTACAATGTTCGTATCTTTATGATTGTTATCATATTTTATTTCGTTCTCTCCCCTTTTCAGGCTAATTCTTTTTTATTTTGTTTTATTTTTTTTATTTCCATGAAATCTGATTCTTTCATCGATAACACATATAATCCTCTGATTTGACATATCTGTGATTCACGAATCTTAAGTGGATGTGATTTGTGAACACAATCCCTATTTTGGAACACCAGTTTTGTATTATTGATTCAGTCTCATATTTCATGGTTCACTAGTCATGAACTTTCTCATCTTTCTAAGTTGCCAAAGTTTTTCTCTTCAGGCACTAGCCAGCAAATCGGCTTTTCAACGGCATCAGCAGTGGCTGCCACATGCTAGGACCCGTAGTGCTCGACACAAGATTATGAAAGTAACCATGCTATGAATTTACTACTGCGAATCATATGTTCTCTTGCTTTATTTTTCTAACTGAACAAGAATTCACTACTTTATCCAGTTCTTGAGGGAGCAAGCTGCCCTATCTGCCACCGAAATAACAGCTGACACTGTGAATAGCTTTGTTGCCGACATTGAAACTGAGGTTGAATCAAGAAATGAAATTCCAGATTCATTTGGAGAAAGGAAAACATTGTGGAGGACTTTGATGACTGTCACTGAATTTACTGGCACAAAGCATAGTCATGATGATGCACTTCCTCTACAACAAAGATTTGGGGGTATACCAAAAATTAATGGAAACCACAACAAAGGGATGCAACAAGTGAGTTTGAAGGTCAATGGGGAGACAGTGATTCATGGGGTAGACTTGTTTATGCAGAGTAGCATACACGAGGAAATGTTGCCTGGTCTGGAGTCATGGCGGGCTGGTAAAGTGGCATTTTGGCATGACCTTGAAGGTCATTCAGTTGAGTGGTTTTGTGTTGTCTCAATTGATCGTAGAGGTAAATGAGTTATTCCCTTTTTGTGCTTTTCTTGTCATAGCTACTTTCTCCTTAAGCTGGTGTTCAGTAAGCAAATTTGTATACAGTTTTGAATCTTCTTTATTTCATTTTTTGTGCTACTCTCTCTCTCTCACTCATATTCTGTTGATGAGTCTGGTTGATCTAACAGCATATTGGAGCTTGCTTTTGTTTCATGTATATAGATAAATGAGATCCATGTCCTGTGTAAATATAGGTCACCATGCTAGACTTAGCGCTGCTAAAATTTAGTTTGGGATTTCTGTAATTTAATGGACTGAATGCAGGAATGATGGCAGAGGTTACATCTGCATTAACAGCTGCTGGAATTATGATATGTTCTTCAGTGGTTAGTAGTCTCATGACTCTTATTTGGATTTGATTCTTTTGTTTCTAACCATACTGACAATTAATGAATGTTTTGGTAACAGTCTGAGATGGACCGGAGAAGGGGCATGGGTGTGATGCTATTTCACATTGACGGGAGCTTTGAAAGTTTGGTATGATTACGTTGTGTTTTATAATCCTTTTTCTCAGTCCTTTTTCTCTGATATTTTCTTTTTAAGTATATGCCAGTGGTGCATGGCATGCAGTACACTGCAGGGAAATCCTGCATCCATTCTTGATGACAGACAGTTGACGTTCACTGCACCTGGGAGATGTGGGAATGGACGGTGAACGTTCCCATGCCGTACTGTAAACCTTGCGCCATCGTTGTATGGTAAAATTTTGGTTTCCTTAGATGCATTGGGCTGACTTTTGAGGGTGCTTTTGCGTTTCAGTCTAGTGTATGTTCGAGCATTGATCTGATTCATGGCGTTCTTGGATGGTCAATGGGTTGTAGCTGGCACTGGTCTCAAGAAGCAAGCCATGGTCTCTATGAGTGCTGATATTGTGACCTCTTTCTCTGTTATTATTAATCTCTCTCTCTCTCTCTCTAGTCTCCCTCTGAGCATAGTAAATTGAGATGCTCTCTCATTGTTTTTGTCAGTCTTCGTGCTCTCTTTCATAGTTTTTACAGTCTCTCTCTCTCTCTCTCATAGCATAGCGAAAGGTGTAAGGGTAGGCAATTTTGTTGGAGAAGACCAGATTTGCATGGTGGATTTATCTGAACATGAGTCTTTGTGATTCCTTATTTGTTGCGACATCACAATAAAAACATCAGCTGCTGGAGCGGTTTTTGTGGGGGGTTGTACATAAAAGAGTATTAATAATAGCATTACATCTGAACTTTTTACTTTGTTGAAAATATTGCTACAAGGCCTCTTCTATTTTCGTTGTTATTTTTATTTTGGGGTCGCTTTTATCTGTTTCACGTTCTAGGCGTTTCACTGTTTATGAGAGAGAGGCCCACTGCAAGCAATGTTTAGAAAACCGGAGATGGACTTCGGCCCGCCATTGTCCCGATCCCGAGTTAGAGACCGACATAGCCAAATTGGACGCCCTGATTTGTTTTTGTCTTTAGAAAAATGTACATGGGAATTTTGACTAAGGTCAAACTGGCTCGGTTTCTAGGGTTAGTCATCTGGGTCTGGCACCCTGAGTCACTGGTGCAAGTCCAAGCTTGAGTCATGGAATTTTGAAACACTGGCCGAATGCTATACGTGTGCACAAGAGATAGAGAGAGGCACATCCATGGTCATGCACATGCACTCACTGTTGATCAGATTTGTTGGCCGTCAGTCCAAGAGGATCTAAGTTTTAGGGTTCTACAACCAAACTGAAATGAAGCCAAGCTAAGCTGAGACCAGTTGCTTCAGGTTGATTTGGGTGTCGTCAGCCTTTTTGGCTGAAGAAAGGGTGTTACGGTTGGTGCTGGCAATGGGCTGCGTGGCCCGGCCCTAAAAAAGCAGTGTCTGGGCCACAATTGTGGCTCAAGGACCAGTGCCAGCCCGGTTTGGCCTGCTTTGGTCCAGCTTTTCTTTTTTTTTTACTTGTTTATGTTTTATTTTTTCTTCATTTGTTTTTGGACCGGCCTTAATAGCTCCAGGCTTGGGCCGGCTCTATGGGAACAACAGCCGGGCTAGGGCCTGTTGCCACCGGTTATGGTCTCTTCAACGTAATCAAGGTAGAGTAAATTCGATGATTTGTATATACTAAAATTCAAGCATGAACGGAAGGGGAGAGTGCTGCCCTAAAGGATAACAAATATCAAAATGGCCCTCGTTTCTTAAAATCTAAAAAGCTAGAAGAACGAACGTTATTTTCATGAAACTTTTAAGGTTCTTTCATGTAAAATAATAAAATAAAATAAAATATTTTTAAATATTTAGCTGACATCAAATAGTTGGGATAAAATTCAGATGATGATTTTAAAAAAAAATTATGTCATGGTTCCGTGAAGAAGAAACAATGAACGAAGGATGCTAGGAGGATTTATAATTAAGCATATTTGTTTAGGCCCATTTGCATGCATTAATAACAAAGAAACAACCGGACCGTTGATTCACCGATCTAAATCAATTCCTGCTCACCGATCAGTTTTTTAAATCTGTGATATAGATTCATAGTACGAAAAAGGGAATATGGATGGAAGTTGGGGCAGAGAATATTCTTTGAAGCATTTGAAGATTTCGTATTCTTGAATGAAGTGAATATGGAATTTTCCTAACTTTTGGGTGGATGAGTGGATGTGGGCACTTTGAACGCAGTGAGAAAAGGTCGGTCTGTTCTTAACTTTTGGGTCGGTAATTTGGGAGTTGAGCCCAAGAAAAAATAAGAGAAAAATGCCTTGCATCTTTCCCTAAAAATGAAACCAAATTCTTTGGGGAAATTAGTTTTGGGCAAGCTTTCTTCTGAAAGATTGCCTCAATCACAATGTCACGTCTCTACACTATTTTATTTTTAATTTTTTTATATAAATTATTTTGACACCAAATTTTGAGCATCCAATTCTCTACTAAACTCGCATTTGTAAAAAATATAAAACAAAGATTTTCAATAAAATAAAATAACCAAAATGCCCTTAAAAGTATCAAGTGGTATTTTGGTAATTGAATTTTATCGAAAAATTATTTTTAATATGTTTTATAGGTTGGCCCCAATGAGAAGATGGCATGTACCAAATTTCAAATTCATAAAATTTGTATTAAAAAAATTTAAAATAAAATACTTTGAGGCGTCATATCTAAGATTAAATAATGAGTGGCTCACTTGATCAAAATTGGACAGTTGTATGGTAGGGAAAGCATAGATCCTCTATGTTCTAGGGGAAGTATAGAAACCTTTCACATTATTTTTATGCATATTGCTATTTTCGTTTTAAAAAATAGGCAAGCCTTCTATTCTTTCCTTACGACACAGAAGTTCTATCCTCCTTTTATCCAACAATCCATTCTGAATGGAGGGCTAAGATTGTCCCAATCACAATGTTACGTCTCTACACTATTTTATTTTTAATTTTTTTTCTGTAAACTATTTTGACACCAAATTTTGGACATTCATTCCTTTATTAAACTCGCATTAGCGAAAAATATATAAAAAAAATATTTTCAATAAAATAAAATGACCAAATACGTCTGAAAATTTCAAGGGGTATTTTGGTCATTATATGTTATCGAAAAATTATTTTTAATATTTTTTATAGGTGCGCCCCAATGAGAAGATGGCACGTACCAAATTTCATGTTCATACAATTTATATAAAAAAAAACTACAAATAAAATACTTTGAAACGTCGGATTTAAGATCAAATGGTGAATGACTCTCTTGATCAAAATTGGAAGGCGAATGGTAGGGAGAGAATAGAATTTCTATGCTCTATAAAAGCATATAAACCTTTCCCTTACAAAATTACGCACTGTTCATTAAATTTTATGGAAGGAATAAGGTAACTAGGACAGTATGTAATACGGTGACCGATGCGATAGCATGTTGGAAGAAAATTTCGTTTTAGCCTCGTTGAATTTTTTTGACACAAACAAATGTGTTCGAAAATTAGATTTAAAACTCGTGCAAAGATAAATTCGAAAGTTTTATTTTTTAAAACTACAACATTATGATATGGACACGGTTTCTATGCAGCCAGCCGACATATTGTTGAAATGCGGGCTAGGTAATAAATATATTTTTTAAATATAATTTGATCCAGAGAATATGTAATTTTTAACATGGAGATCATGAATATGAAAAATAAAAATAAAACTAAAAATAATAATTATATTAAGAAAATATTTGGACTGTTAGTTACATTTGTTTTTAGATGGATGCTTTATACCTCTGGACTGCATATTGTAGAAATGCGATCCAGCCTTCATGAAACGATTTTCCTTATAATATTGTCTTCTCTTTAAAAGTTGCTGTCCAGCCCAATTGAAACAATTTTTTTTATAACATCGTCTCCTCTTTAAAATGTGCAATATATGACAACTGCTCCATGGGGATGTTATAGCTACCCAATATTGAAATTTTTTTTTTTTTTGGGTATTTCAGTCGGAAAGACAAGCCCCTTAACTATTAGAATAAGAGTTCGTTTTTTGAAAGATATTAGTAGGGTGGTGTCAGTGGTGAGAATGAAAACTTTGGTGATTAAGATATGGGGTGCTACCACTACATTTGGCTTTATTTGCAACAACTCACTAGAAAAACAGCTTGAAAAACAGAAAAACGGCTTGAAAGACGGGCTTTATTTGCAACAACTCACTAGAAAAACGGCTTGAAATACAGAAAAACGGCTTGAAAGACGGGCTTTATTTGCAACAACTCACTAGAAAAACGTCTTGAAAAACAGAAAAACGGCTTGAAAGACGGGCTTTATTTGCAACAACTCACTAGAAAAACGGCTTGAAAAACAGAAAAACGGCTTGAAAGACGGCTTGAAAGATAGCTCAAAGACGGCTTGAAACAGAAAAACCCAAAATTAGAGCGCAGAGCACAAAGAAAATCCAATGATTTAATGGTATTATTCTTATATCTTAACAGAGCAGAATGGGGGTGTAGCCGAACCTAATTAGGATTCTTCTCTTAATCGCGATATGAATGGCACAGGAGGAGCTAACTCGAAATATATTCTTTATTTTGTGTAGTTTTTGCATCAAATGAACTAGACGGCCACATGAAAATTCTACCTCTTGCCTCAAATCAACCCTAAATCAAGACCATAATTCATTTGTTTTTTGTGGCACCATTTTAGATCGTCATTTTCACGGGCCATTTCCATCCTCACTTTCACAAGCCATTTCCAAAAGTGTTTGTGCGCTCTGCTAGAAACTCTTGGGACGTTTGTTCATCCAAAATTAGACCAAAGTATTTACAGAAGTGCTTTTCAATTTAGAATTTTCTTTTTTAACATGAAAAAAGTGTTTTTGAATTTTTATTGTAATTTGCATGCAGTGTTTTAGTACTAAAAAATGGTTACAGATCCGTCTTTTAAAACCTGGAACCGGCTCACAGGGCGGCAGGGCCCAGTTTGAGATAAATCGGCAAGTCTGATCGGTAATGACGGTTGAGAAACCACCATTTTTTTATGGAGTTGAGCAAAACTCGAGGGTCATCAAAATTTGAGTCATATGGAACCCACAGGTATTGTTCTAATTTACTCGGCCAAATCCAAGTCGAATTCGCTAGATTTTAAAAAATAGATTCATGATAAATTTTGGCGAAATTTTACCCTGGCTACCTACTTTATACAACCCAACCCAACTCCTTCACCCAAACATGAGACTCGATTGAAGAGAAGTTTTGAGATCCTCAGTAGTAATCGAAGATACTGAAGAGTAGGACCTTAATATGTGCTATCATAATGATTTAGATTTATAAAGCGGGTAGGTGGGGTGGGGCTCGTCATCATCCCACTGAATTACGAAAAAGAACAAAATTCAAAATCTAAATCCGCTTTAGGAGAAAAGGAAATGAGGTTCTAAACTGAAATCCCATAACCCGTATTCCTCCTTTTAAGAAGGGAAATGGCCAACACCACAGCCGCCACCAAAACCCAAGCCCATACAATCGTTGCCAAATTCCATTGCCAAACCCCCTCCTCCTTCAAATAACTCTTCATCTCCATGATAAAACCAGCCCTTTCTCCATTTTTTGCCTTGTTAACAAACTGTAATTTTTCAGCGTCTTGTTCCGTCTCCTCTCTATCCACGATGATATCTCTTTCTTCTCTGTGAATGAGTTCGCTTTCCTCTCTCACGGCGGTTCCTTTCTCCTCCAACTCAACGATTTCTTTTTCCTCCGTCTCTTTCTCCTCGTTCAAAAGGGGATTCTTCACCTTGTCTCCAGCATTTTCTTTGATCTCCTCCCCTTCAACCAGAGAGTCGGAATAAGTTCGCCCGAAATCCTTTGTTTTTAGCTCGATTTCATAAGAAAATTTTTCTGTAACACGGGGAAAGTCTCCATGGATTTCTTCTTCGACCTTGGCCTTGTTAATCTCCTCTGAAAGTTTATCTACAAGATGCGGAGGAACACCATTAATTTCTTCAATCTTGGACTCGTTACTCTTCTCTGGAAATTTATCTGCAACATCTGGAGGAGCTCCATCGATTTCGTCACTTTTGACCTCGTTAATCTCCTCCAGAAGTTTATCTGCAACATTGGGAGAAAATTCATCGATCTTGGACTCATTAATGTCTTCTGGCCAGATAGCTTCGTGCTCCGTAGCCACAGAAGAGCTTATGCTCCCATTTGAACAGGCATCATCGGTTCTCAACAGGCTCTCTGAAATATCTTCAACATACCCTGGCTCCTTTAATGGCTCCACTTCTCCTCTAATGACATTCATGTTATCATCGTAGTCCTCTTCTTCTCCTTCTGATAATTCAGTGCTCTTTAATGGATCCTCTGCTCCTCTAGAAATCATCAAATTATCAACATCATCTTCTTCATTTAAATCAGCATTTTCTGATTTGATTTCTTTAATGGAAGGACTTTCGAGTGAGCTTGTCCTATCAGAAACAGGAATAGCAAAACAAATTCCGGCGATATCGCCGGAATTTTGCAGGGAATTTCAGTCTTCTTCTGGTATGTACTACCAATAGAAGTGGGGCTTGAGTCTGAAATCTCCCGGTTGGAATCAGTTTCCATACGCCGGGAATCAGAAGGAAAATATTTTCCGTCATGGTGATTGCAGGAAATATGAGTTACTAAGTCGTCCGAGAATCTGGGGAAATCGAAAATGATCGCGGGATCTTCGCCGTTGATTTCTTTACCTGCGATTGTTTCAGGACTGGGTTCTTCCCCCTGAGCAAGCGGTTTTGAGTTATTGAGAAATGACAGGAAAGGTCCCATCTGTTTATAAAATATTGGAAACACCCTTAAGACCTTTTTAGGCCTTGGAATGAATAGAAATGACAAAGATGACCCACGTGGCAATCAGCGCTCCGTGAACCCGCTCAAAGGTCCTGCTGCACCATTCTGGGATACGGTTTCTAGGAGTCTTATGCTGAAATAACTCACGTCTTAAAAATCTATTTTTGAGATGGATTTTTTTACCTAAATTTTTAGGAGGTGTAATCTCTAATATGAATAAATAAATAAATTTTAAAAATAAAAAATATTAATTCAAAAAAATTTAAACTCTCATGTTTCAATTGTTTTTATATGGAATGGAGGTTTTATACCTCAGGGACCGCACGTATACATTTAAAGTGCATGAAACATTTTTTCTTCAATCGCTGTTAGATTTGAAATCAGATAAATAAGGATGTGTTATTGTTTAGGCACAACATCCATAATTAAAATTTTCCGACTGTTGTGAAGTCAAAATTACTTATAACTATCCAATGTGAAATCTGAGAGCTGTGTGCACAAAATTTAAAATTTTCTCGTGAAGTTTGAGCTTGGTCAATAGAATAAAAGCAACCATCCAATTTCACATCCAATGGTCAAAGATTAATTGTGTCCACCTTGTAACAAAGCTAAATGATTTCATTGTATACTTTCCCATCTAATTTCACATCTATTGAGTTTTAAATCCAATTACTAAAAATAATCGAGACCTCTTTATATCAAAAATAAATAGTCTCTATGCAATCCCTTTAATTAATGAATTGTATGTATGTGTATTCTCCCTCGACCAATATCCCACTCCATTGATTGGACAGTGATAAAACGCGAGGTCGTAGTTCCTCGTGTATTTTCTCTCGATCAATGTCCAACTCCATTCATTGGACAATGATAAAAAACTAGGTCATAATTCCTCGTATGGTTGTCTAAATCATTCTTCGTTGTTTCGAAAACCTGCCCGGGGAACGAAACCGGTGACTTTGTCGGTTCGGCTTGGCGGACGCTATAGATTATTGCCATAAGTTTTAAAAAAACATAGTTTCTGTTTTGGTTTGAATTCCTTGAAAAAAATTTTAGTCCCAATGTGACTCGGTAAGAGTCCCGGTTCCAGTGCGACCGGTTGAGCAGTTTTGGGCCGGCCCGGTCATTTGTGAGCGGTGTTCCTCATTCTCAGGAGGCTGTTGATTTGAGGGGTATCCCTAGAAATTTATAGAAACACTGTGAGCCTTTGCCAATTGAACATCGTCACTCATACCTCGTGGGGCGCATCATCATCTGGTGACTGCACCGGACTGCTAAAAAGCATAATTATGCTAATTAACAAACATAATAATCCCGACTTATATCAATAAACCACAACAAAAACCATACTAACTAGTTTATAGGTCACAATTATAACTTACAACCCAAATATCAAATTCATTCATTTAAAAACAATATAAAAATCCAATTTAAAGTTTTAAACTATGATCCACGCTTTATCCAACCCTCCATTCACTCCACGTTTTTCCTACAACATAAAACTTATTTACTTCCTTTTATCCAAGGCTCCATTATTAGTGGAGGGGTTTAGAATGTCAAGATTGTCCCAATCACAATTTCCCGTCTCTATATTATGTTATTTTTTTTTTAAAAAAAAAATTTATAAACGATTTTGATACCAAACTTTGTACGTCCCAATAAAAAAAATATAAAAACAGTATTTTTAATAAAATAAAATAATCAAAATATCCATAAAGTTTTAAAGGATATTTTGATATTTATACTTTATCCGAAAATTATTTTTAATATTTTTTATAAATACGCTTCAATGATGCTCGTACCGAATTTTATATTCACACAATTTATATAAAAATATTAAAAATAAAATACTTTGAAACATCGGATCTCATATCAAACGGTAAGGGACTCTCTTCATCAAAATTGAATGGCCGGATGGTAGGGAAACATAGATATCTGTACGGAAGTATAGAAACCTTCCCCTTTTTTTTATATTTCTCAAGACTAGATACTACAAAAACAAAAGAGATGTTTTATTGGGTCACACAATGAAAAACATCAGTTTACAGAAAACCCAATTTTGACTGATTTCGCTTCCGAATTCGGCTAATTTCCTAGGAAAATCACACGAAATCAAAATTAAATTGCTATATAAATTTACTGAAATTTAATCACGACATTTTGTTTCGGGTAATTTACATTTAAACCAAAAACAAAAGAGTTATTTCTGGGTACCTGAATTGTTTTCCATGGATTTGAAGAAGGGAACGGAGTCCTCCTCCGTTGCCGTTTTCTCGGGGCGTCCTTTTACTATTACCGTCTCCTCTTTTGCCGTACTCATCGTCCGTTTTATTGGAAGTTTTCCGTCTGAGGGCAGCGATGGCACCCGCAACTGCACCGACGGCCACGATTCCTCCTAAGATGAGAACACCCCCCGCCATCCCTGAATCTGAGCGGTCAAATTTAACGGCCGTTGGCTTCTCTGCGGAGCGCCGTTTGTTCCTCTGTGTCATATTCGATGACACTCGGAGCTACAACAGACTTTGAGTTCATGACTCATTGATGAGATACAAATAGTTTTATTTATATGAGAGAGATTTTCATTTTCTTTTCAGTTTAGAATGGGTGTCGATTGTATACGTCTGAGGTCCTAAACAGTTAAAGTAAACTGTACCTTCAAATAGTGTTAAAAGATGTCCTTTTAAGTACTGAAAATATTTATGATACCTGAAAATTTACTTTCAACTCTAATTATAAAATTTAAAATTCAAAAAATAATGTAGGTCAATTATATCTATAAATATTTGAAAACTGATGGTTTAGATAATACATTATAAAATGCACTATTTTTTAAGCTTTGAATTTTTAGTTTTTTAATGTCTATGTATTTCAAGGTAAAGATGATTGGATTTAAAGATTTTTTTAGCATCCAAACAACTTCTAGTAAACTTTTGAGACACGCCTTAGTTTGATTGTTTAGAGCCTAAGCCTTATATAAACGTTTTCTTTAAAAAAGAAGTGCGTTTTTGGTGTGAAGACCGGAGAGAGATTCTAGGGCAAGGCGGCATGTGCCGTATATGGAGAGAGAGAGTTTCTTTCTCTTTTCATTTTAAAAAAGAAAATTGTTTCATGTTTTATGCGGGCTAGACCACATGACTATACATGCGGTCCAAAAAAGTATTAAGCATCCATCTTAAAGATGGATGAAAGTAGGTGCTCCATTTAAAAACAATGAAAAGTAACGATCTAAGTATTTTTTATTAGAATTATTAATTTTAATTTTTAAAATTTATTTTATTTATCAATATTCATGATCTCCATGTTAGAGATTACATGTATTTAAAAATTAAGTCCAATCATCCTTCTCAAAAATAAATTTATTAATAGGCTCATATTGCTACATATGGAGGCTTGGCCGCATAAAAACCGATTCCTTTAAAAAAAAGTTGCGTAGAAAGGCCGGTTTTCGGCGTGAAAGTCTAGAGAGAGATTCCAAGGTGTCGTATATGGAGGGAGAGAGAGAGAGGCGTAGCAGTTGTAGAGAGAGAGAGAGAGAGGGAGAGATGGATTGGTAGAAGATTCTCCGTCTCATTTTTATCTTTATTCGGTTTTTCACCTAGTAATATAAGCATGCAATTTGTAAATGTCCTGTTTCTATTTCTACTTGAGAGGAGCAGAATGTAGGCGAAGTGGTAAAAGAAAAAGTCGTTTTAAATGATTTTGAGAATCTAGTGAACTAAGAGAGCTCTTTAAACGCATAAATGTGAATTCAAAACACCTTTGAGATAATAGTTAACTTGGGTTTTAAGAGTGATCTCGGCAAGTTTTCTCATTTTTTTATCCTTTTTTTTTTTTTTCTTAAAGAAGATCTGGGCAAGTCTTTTGGTAGAGTTTTTGGGAGAGTTGCAGACAATACTACCTAAAATGGTGGCTATTTAAGTGTGGATTACCGTTTTTGTTTTCAAATTCCTCATAAAATTGTTTTTCTTTCATGTGACATACAATAATGGCTTCAACTACCGTTCTCAAAACGGTACTTTAGGAGTGTATGACTGTATGTAAAGGATAACACCTTGTTTAGACGTGGTGGCAAAATATCTTCATATAAAACGAAGGAAAATTTATCAAAGGAAAATTGTTTTATGCAGGCTGGACTGCATTTCTACAATATACGGTACCTCACAAAATAATTAAAACTAACGGTTCAAATTTTTTTAATAAAATTGTTATTTTTAATTTTCAAAAATTATTTATTTTTTCATAGTCATGACCTCCATGTTGGAGATTATAGGTCTTTAAAAACTAAACCCAAAAATCCATCTTGAAAATAGATTTTTATGAGGTGACTCATTTCTACACGGACTTATAGAAGCAGTGTCCTTTACCAAAATACTCGTATGAACTTTTTAATATTTTAATATTTGCAACTATTCTGATTTATAATAATGTGTCTTTTGATATTTTGAAATCAAACAGAAAAACATGAGTAGCAATGTTAAATAGATTTAGATAAATTTCCCGAAATGAGATATGTGCAATGAGAACCGTTGGATGGAAAATTCCCAACCATACTATGCGAACTTGAATGGCCGGATTCTGTGGTAATTTGCTCAAGGTCTGTCAAATAATTTAACTGACATTGTGAGCGACGTACTTCGGCCGTCGCTTTACACATCCGATGGCCCACGAAGGGTGTGAATTTTTCATTTGAAAAATCAGCTATGCTCATTGTATAGGGTCCCTCATGGTGGAGATGTCTCTTTTGCACAAAAATAACGGATTATTGTTCATAATTCATATCAGCAGCCAAAATTTTAGTATGTGATTTTAGGAATTCATCCATGCCTGTAGACGTGTGTATAAGAAAAGGTAATACACGTTAGAAGCGTCGTGATGAGAGACAGCAAAAGAGAGAGAGAGGTTGCATGTACAAAGTCAAAGAGGTTTGTACTAAGATCCAAAGAAGAGAATTGGGGAGTGGACTCAATCAAGCATGAATATATTATGCAAAATTTTGATAGGTAATTCATATGGTAATTCAGGGAGTGCGGGGATAGGACCACTAGTTTGGGACCACGAGGGAATAGTGTGTTTCGTTTGGTGATAATCAAAATCACTACAACTATATTTCATTCAAAAATTAAAGGTATTATGGTAAAAAAAAAAGGGATTTTTTTTAGAAGCAAGAAAGTGATATCCATATAAGATAATCAAAAAAGACATAATACTCATCTTTTTGATGGTCACCCTTTCGGGGTTATGGGAAGGACTCTCCAAGATAGAATGGGTCTCTGAGAGAGAGAGAGACATAGCATACAAGAGAAAGGCAATATTCTCATGAGTTTTGGATTGGTAATGCTTCTACTTCTAGATGAAGAAAATCTCATAGTTGCTCTCAAGGTTATTTTTTCCAGTAGAGGTTATACAGTTGGAAACAGTGTTTAAAAAAACGCCGAGTCGAACCGGCGCCCGGTTCGACTAGGGAATCGCCATGGACGGATCGAATCGGCGAAAAAAACGGGAATTGTCTGGTTCTAGAGAGAACCGGAAGATTCTGTACATGACTCCGCCGATTCACTGTACGGAATCGGCGAGTCCGTATAGTGAATTGGCGAGTTCCCGTTTTTTTTTTTTTTTTGTTTGTAATCCATGATAGATTTTTTTGTAATACTTGATCAATTTTTTTGTAATCCATGATCGAATTGTTTTTTTTTTTTTGTAACCCATGATAGAGTTTTTTGTAATCCATGATTGAATTTTTTGTAATCCATGATCGAATCGTTTTTTTCTTTTTTTGTAATCCACGATTGAATTTTTTGTTTTTTTTTGTTTGTTTTTTTTTGTAATCTATGATCGAATTTTATGTAATCCATGATCGAATTTTTTGTAATCCATGATTGAATTTTTTGAAAATTTGTGATTTTTTTTTTTAATCCATGATCGAATTTTTTTTGGTAATCCATGATAGAATTTTTTGAAAATTTGTAATTTTTTTTTTTAATCCATGATCGATTTTTTTTTGGTAATCCATGATAGAATTTTTTCAAAATTTGTGTAGTTTTTTTTTTTTTAATCCATGATCGATTTTTTTGATAATTTGTTTTTT